ACTTGAGTTTCAAGGGCACTCTAACTCACGGACACCCTAAGGGCATCGCGACACCACTCTCAAAATGTGCAAAATGAGAATGAACGTCCCGCTAGAACATGGCCAGATGCACCCGCTACATTTTTGTCTTTTTCACATTTGGAGAGTGGTGTGGCGAGGCCCTAACTCACCGATCTTACTTAGTAGCTTGTCTGACGGCTGCCTCTTAAACCACCAGTACTTGGCCCAGTTATCGATGCCGAGCCAGCCGACCCCTGCGCGCCAAGTTTCGCCGAACCGCCGGGGTGCCGTTTCAACTTTGTTTTGGCTGGCGCTTCCAGCCATTGTGGTTCGGTACCCCGAAGCCCTGCAGGTGCGGCGCGTTAATGGCGAAGCACCGCGGCCGATAGCTGGGCCAGATACTGGTGGTTTAAGTGATTGGTGGAAAAATCCAATAAAAAGGAAAAAGGTCAGTATATTACCCGTTCCGTAGGGTCCAGCCCTTGAGCCTCGAGTGACCTCCCGAGGCTCCCTTGAGATTTTCGTTGTTTTGGCTGGGCTGCACTTGAGTTCCGAGGGCGGACCCTTGAGATGCAAAATGTGGAAACATTCCGAACATCCAAATCGATGTAATTAGGGAGGGGTGGAACGATGCTTCCTTGCCAATCCTCGAGTTTCAAGTGGTGTCGACTGAGACCCTTAGTCTTTGACCGTGGGTGTGGTTCATCAAGCTCCATCCTCGTTTTGCGCATTTAGTGAGTAGTGGAGCAAGGCCTATTCCGTCCGTGGGTTCAAGGGCATGCAGAGACGGTATGTTTCTGTGTGTGTGTGTGCCCAGGGGGGGGGGGGGGGGGGGGGGGGGGGGGGGGGGGGGGGGGGAGGAGAGGGAGGGGGAGGAGGTGTATAGTGGATGATGGACTTTACCTGAAGGACAACGATGACAAGAGTGATGGCGAGGATGAGGACAGTGACAACAAGGAGGACAGAGCAACTGAAATGTCTTTGTGTGAAAGAAAAAGGGAGGACAAGATCAGCACTACTCATGGTAGGTCAGAGAGGAATGAGAGAGACCTGGTAAAAACAGTGTCTGGATTCACCATGTGTTGTCATGATGGGACGCTGGACCTGGTTCCCAGCACGTGTTGCTCCGCACAAATATGACCCAAACCCTAAACCAGAAAAGAAAAAGGACGGGAATTAGTGATGGCAACAGTGGAAAGAAATCAATTGGGATGGCTGGAGGGGAGAGGAGGTTGCATAGGCCCAAACACTGATTGTATCTAAACAAGATTCGAACCCTTGATCTGTTTATAAATGGCTGCATATGTGCACACCATTCAGCCACCAGCGAGTACACCATCTTGTCACCCTTCTCTTTTGTGAGCTACATAGTCTCTTCTGTTTCCTGGGCAAGATTTGAACCCTTGATCTTGTTCAGGCCACAGCCAGGCCCAGGTGTGTCGGCGGGGGAGGTTCGTTGGTGAGGGGGGGTTCTGAGCAGCAAAAAGGAGGCTATGTGAGTTGCTGTGTAGCACACTGAATGTGTTTGGGGCTTTCCCCAACTGCTAGGTTACAGAGTGGCTCGACCCACCCCAGAACAATCCCCCACCTGCTAGGCTACAGGGCGAAGCGACCCGCCCCGGCTCCGCCCTGGCTCCGCCCAGCGTCGACTGCGTACCAGCTCACCAATAGACACTAGAGTGTCTTCCGCCCTCGACAACTGCCCAGATCTTTCTACCGGGTCTCAAGCCCCGTACAGCTTGAGTTACAGGGCAGCGCGACCAAGCCCCAGCACCGACCAGTGTCATTCTGGCCTCGTCCATTCGCAAACCTTTGGGACGAAAGACGTCAGCAGATGTCAGACAAGCCACCAATCCTCACCATGGCTGTAGTTCCAATCCTCCAGCTCCTTCAGGCGCTCGTTGCATTCATCCAACAAAAATCCCTTCCAGCCCTACCCCGCAAGACTTACCAGGATGGAGCCACCCTCTCCGTCGCTGTTGTGCCCTATTTCCACCCTAGGCTAGCCCCTTCTCCGCAGGGTGCATTATCTCCAACCATATCAGCCACGACAACCCACCGCCGCCAACGCCAAGCTTTTGAAGGATTTTTTGTAATTAGAAAATCAAAAAGTTCAAGAGAATCAAACACACTTTTCTTTTTTTTTTTGGTGAAAAATGAGAACCATAACCATGTTACCTATTCAACAGACCAGCCCACAGTTGTCTCAACCCTCCTATCGGATACCAAGCTCTACCATGCTTCACACCCCCAACCGCTGAGTTACAGGGTGGCTATCCACCCCAGCTCTGACCGGCATCGTCCTAGTAACTGCTCATGGTACGCCACTGGACTGCCTTCCACCCTCGGCAATTCCCCAGATCTAACCCCCACATGACTCAGGTTACAGGGCAGCGCAACCAAACCCCCGCTCCGGCCAGCATTGTTCTGGCATCGGCCGACCATAACCCCATGGGCATGAGGGCGATAACCCGCTGTCGGCCAATCTGCTGAACACCACCTTGGCAACCAGAGTTTTGAAATAATCGATTCCCTTCACGCACTGGTCATGCTCGACACACCTGGGCCACCTACACACTCCCCCTTATTCCCACTCCGGCAAGACTTATCACAGCGGAGCCACGATCTCTGTTGCTGCTGTGCCCTATTCCCGTCCTACCAACTAGCCCCCTCGCCGGCAGGACGTGTCACATCCCTCCCTCTACTAACCCCACTTAGCCAATCGGTACCTGCCCCTACCTATGCAACCCCAACATGGAGGGGTAAGCTGGGGGAAAAGCCCACTACCCAAATCCAAGTATATCTCCCACGACCAGTGCAAAGACAAGGTACTAGAATACAACTCTGCAGAGCGAAATTCCAGCACTCATGAATTTCGGATTTTCGACTCGATGAGAAAGATCAATATCCATGGATACAAAACCAGAGATTAAGGATCAGAATACAACCATTGGAAAATTCAAGAGGACAGTAATGAAAATCACCGTTTCGGATTTGAAGAGGAGAATCCTGCTAGCCTTTGCGAATGAAGAACATCATGAGAATCACTAATTGGATATTTCAAATGATGAGTCCATATCAGATTTTCGGATATAGAGCACGATGAGTAGATCGAAGAAATCCGAACAAGAAAAGTGAAACAAATTTCCATCGTATGATAGGACGGAGAAAATAAGAATTCAGAGTAAACATCCGGGAGAGTATCAACAAAATTCATGTATCAGACAGAAGTAAAGAATTCGAACCGCGAAAACCAGCCAAACAAAGTAAGAACTCAAAATGGGAAATCACGACTCAAAAGTTGCCAGCGTACAAATCATGAGGACTCAACTGTTCATCTCATATCAGAGTAAGGAATATAATTTTAGAGCAGTGCTTTAGGATCAAGACTTTGACAAGCTGCTGCATACCGAGCCCACATCACCACGTGAAGTCACCTTGAATCCCGTGAAGTAATCAGTCCCTGCAGATCATCACGAGACGCTCCACTCCAACCGTCCCCTCATCCGGCTGCCCAACCGCTGTCCCGACGGAACTCAGCCCCTGCCTCTTCCTGCGAGAGAAGCACCTTCTCCTCCCCATAGCCAGTGCTGATGCAGCCCCTTGGCAAAGTATACTGGCCAGAAGGGATTAACGGGACACCGCCACGTCCCTATAACTCCTTGAAGGCGATTATGTCGTGAGTAACAGCATCGAGCCCGTCGATGCGGCCTCACAGAGAATGCAATCCATGCACAACGATCTTAAACCAGCCAGGTCAGAAAAAGCAAGAGACGGAGAAATAGAGGCAGAGGCTGGAGAAAAGAAAACCCCAAGATCCAAACACTCGTAGCCCTCTCCCATGCTCTCTCTTCCTCTCAGGTTGGCCCCATCAACCCACCCATGCCACATGGCACCCTACCCTCCATTACTCGTCACACCCTACCCAACGTCCTCCGCCATCACACCAATCTGCCTCGCGCCTTCCCTGACGTGGCATCCACCACCACCCACCAACCGCACATGCTTCCTGCATCGCCTCAACGGGAGTCCCGAGACGCGCAACTGCCGCCGTCTGCTATGCCGCCGTGAACACCCCAGATCGCTTCATGGCTTCCTGCCGCGCATTCGCTCTCTGTCGCTTCAACCCAGGCGGGGCACAGCGCTCCCGGTAGCGCTGGTCCCGCCAGGACACGTCGGTCTGCTACTCTTGACATGCATGTGCCATGCAATTGCAAACTTAATCTTGCCCCATAGTGCAATTATCAGATTTTTCTGAGATTTTTTTTTGTTTTTTCGTTTATGTTCGCATTCGGAGGGTTTTGGCATTCGTTTGTGTTCGGTTGCGAATGTTCGGGTTCGGTTACCGAACGCAAACGCGACGCTACACAGGTGAGCTGTTGTCACTGATTGTTGGCAGGCGATGTGCTGTGCTGCATGCCCATTTCATATCTGTTGAATTGTGTTCAAGGCAGTCGCAAGCTCATGTTCTTTTTTTTTTTTTTCTGCAGGCAGGGATAGGAGCTGATGTGCATTGTAGGGGCACGTGGTTTGGCGCCTCCTTTCTTATTCGAGGGGAGCAAACGCGCCGGGAATCACAAGCTCATCTCAGTATGCATGTCTTGTTTTCCATGGTGTCGTTTGGGCGAGAGTGATGGGGAGAGGTGGGGAGGGGTGTTGGAGGGAAGGAGGGCTTTCTTTTTTTTCTTTTTTCTTTTTTTTTTTTTTAATTCTGGTTGCTCCAATCTTGGTGGGGAGCAACACCTGCTGGAAAACGGGTCCAGCGTCCCATCATACATTGGAGCGGCCTGCCTGCATTGATTACCCTTGCAGGGGATTGACTGAGCAGGTAATGAGATCAAGAACTTTGAGTGTAAAAATTTTGGACGTTACAGAATCACCTCTACAGCCCGAAACAGCCGCCAGATTAAGCACTTCATCCTGGTGAGGCTACACTATTGCCAGTCCGAGAGGGAAGGAGGGCTAATAGGGCTGTGTTTGTATTTTGTCTGTATCTGCAGGTTTTGTGAAGAGCCCAAGGACTGGCTTGGCTTGTGGAGAGCCACATTTGGAATTGGGCGACTAGCCCATGGACCTTTGACTGTCGGACAGAGAGGCCAGGTACTGTGTTCAAGGGATCGGGCACTCTTTCAGGGACCGAGGACTGTCCCAGGGACCAGGGACGGGTCCACAGGGACCATGGCCAAGGACTGCTCCAGAGCGTGTCCACAGGTAATGCTCAGGTGCCCGAGGGGCATGGCTGAGCTGAAGAACAGAATGAAGCCATCGGCCGGGAGTGCAGAACGTTTGGACTTGTAAGTTCAGCGCAAAGGTTCATCTCTTCTCCCATTTTTTTTCTTCTTAGATTCTTTTTTTGCCTTTCACTACCTACCCACCACTACTCCTAAGGCTATACAGAGGGGACCCCTGCAAGCATCGCTACCTCTCACGGTGAAGGGGATCTTGCATGTTGCCCCTTGCCATAGTGGTTTAGGGTGCAGGGTTGGGGCCACCAGTGGGGGTACGGCTAATGCAAAGACTGACCATTTGCCAGGAGCTGAGCTGTGCCTCCCTCTTCATCGTTCCCCCCTTTTCCCAAGTTTCAGAGGACTCAGAAAAAAAGAAGAGCAGGGAGAGGGGGAGAGAGAGGAGAGGGAGGGGCCCAAACAGAATGTATGCTCTTGATGCGCTCATTATGGGTTAACTATTTGTGCACTCTCATCTCCCGATTATCTGCCAGTTTGGTCACTACCGGCTTCTGCACTTTCATCCCGATATGCAGTTTCTTTAGTCCCTTCCTGCTATTATAACTACGCGTCGACCCGCATTCAACCAGCGCACCTACTCTACTCCTACTTCTACATATGCCAAAATAAGCTGCCCTTTCGACTTCTTCTTCATTTCAGCCCAGGCTTGGTGGCGAGTGGTCAGTTCGTCGCCGGCGCATGTGAAGGACCCATCTCGAGAGACCTGAACACAACTGGTCACCGTACAGCTATCTATAGGGGGGCCTACCTCAGCCTCTGCTATTGGGGTCTTCAGACAGGAGGATCTCTTCTCAGCGTGCGCCTCTACCTGTCTTTCGAAGTCTTGAGACGGATTTCTTCTCAGCGTGCGCCTCTACCTGTCTTTCAAAGTCTTGAGACCCTAGTAGGAGCAGCTGTCATTCCTACTGACCGTTCCCTTTTTGTTGCCTGATGTCAGGATAGAAGGGAATGACGTGGCCCAGATCCCCACACTTTATGCACAGCCCCTCGTGCCTTCTCGTCCGCCACAAGGCTCCACGCATCTTCATTGCCTCCCAAAACCTTCACGCCCTGGGTTGGGGGGATATCTACGGGGCCCTCTGCTGTAGCTACTGTTGTTGGAAAGGACATAGTTGCCCCATCCTCCTCCTTGGTAGTAGGCAGGGGGTCCCTGACCACCTTGCGGTGCACCATAACCCGCTTGGGAGCGCCCTTGGCCTCCATACCTGTGGTCACTCTGACCCCTTGGGGTGTTAAATGCAAGTAAATGGCTTGAAACTCTAGAAATCTTCCTACAAAACAGTTTTCTCGGAAAAACTGTGGTAAGAGAAACATGATTAGAGAAATCTTATCCTGAAAATTTTCTAGGAAGCTCTAGGAAATTCCTAGAGTTTCTAGTATATTGCAATGAGACCCTTTGTGCCTTGGGAGTTCTTTTTGTTTTTTGTTCTTTTAATCCACTTGGGAGTTCCTTTTTATATTTTCTTTTTATATTTTTCTTTTTATTTATTTATTATTATTATTTTTAATCCACCACTACCTTCCAGAGTGGAAGGCTAAGTCGGGAATATAACCTGTACCCCATTCTTCGGAGGGCCGGTGCCACCGGACCAAAATGGCTGGCGCCGCCAGCCAAAATGAAAGGATAATTGTCCCGCTGGCGCTTCAGCAAAGCGTGGCGCACAGTTCTACTCCGCTTTGGCAAAAAGAGGATTGGAGTTACTGGCGGTTTAACATCCATCTGCGACTATTTTTTTCTTTCCTGAAAGAGGCTTGGAATTACTGGCGGTTTAACATCCATCTGCGACTATTTTTTTCTTTCCTGAAAGAGGCTTGGAATTACTGGCAGTTTAACATCCATCTGCGACTATTTTTTTCATGCCTGCCGAAATCATGAACTGTAGTACATTGCAGGGAAATGGGCCCAGCGGCCCTCACATCGTGGAGTTGCGACTTGAAGCACCAGTACACCACATATCGGCCCGCGGGTGTCAGCACAAAACCCGGACCACTTCGGAGGCTGCTGATTTTTTTTTCAACGGCGGGCCTGGCCGCGCGGCGCCTCTGAGTTTTGCTTGTGGTGACCAAAACTTTTTGTAAGGCTGGGGTGGTGTACTAGCGGTTTAAGAGTGAGGGACGGGCTTCTCCATCTGGGACTAAAGTGAGGGTGCCTTGGGAGTTGAATATAGCGTTCTTGCAGCCAGTTGTTCGTTGCGCATGTTGAAAAGAAAAAGAAAAAGAGAAGAAAAGATTGAATTGCCACAAATGTATCTGAGTGCAATTATGGCCAGACCTGGATGGATCTGGCCACAAATCACGACCAGAGCTCAGTCTATAAAATTGTATACGGGATCCTCGTGTCTGTATGCCTTCATTGTATAGGGCATCGTTAGACACTCCGCGGGGACGTGAAATCCACAAGGATGCGCTCGTGCCACCTGTCCTTGGGGATGGAATTGAAAAAGAGATGTGAAAACGCCACAAGGAATTTTCCTTGTGGCGTCCTTGTGGCCTAAGCCAAAATCTCCTTATCCCCAAGGGACCTCGTGAGGTCCCTTGGAGCTCAAGGAACCGTGATTCATGGAGTGGCTAAGGCATGCGTCGACGGAGAGTTTCGGTTCTTGGGTGGTGCAGATGTGGTCCAACGGCGTTAGCACGGACATCCCCACCCTCATCCCCACCCTCCAACGTCTGCGTAGTCCCCCAATGGCCCCCAACGGCTACTGTTGGTGGTGGGCCTTCATCGGGTGTCGTCGTCGTTTATGTGGTCTCCCGCGCTCAACGAACGTCCGCAACGGTCAGAAAAATAATTTTTCCTGGCGGCGCCTTCAGTCCGTCCACGGAAGAGGTTTCTGCAGGAGCTTCGTATTCCCACGCATGTCATCACGTGCTGCACGTCCGACAAGACTCTTGCCTTCTCCGCCGTTGTGTGCTAGATGTCTGACAACAGACATGGCATTGCTGCCCTCTCCACCATGCAGTTCATGGCCAACCTGTACCGCAGACTCCCTCTGCTGCTCCACGTCGCTGTGCTGCTTCGGGTGGTCCCTCTGCTGCTCCCCGGTGTTGAAGTAGTCATCCGTGGCGTTGTCGCATTGTCGAAGGTCTTCCCACATCCCCCCCATCCTGCGTTTGATCCACCACCTTGGTGTCGCTCGTGGAATGACGCCGCAACCTAACGTGTAGCATAGCTCAATGACAGCCTCCAAAGTTGCCACGTATATCTGCAGCTTGCATCAGCGACCTTCTTCTGCACGCGCGCAACTTCTCCTCCATTCGTCCCAGTGCCCTCTCGTGCTGACAACGAAGAACAACGGTCCCACGTCCACCCTCTCCGCCGCCGTCCATCGCCACCACCCCCACAGGGATGGAGTCTCTCCGCTACTGTCTCGATCCTCGCACCCCAGAGATGTAACCCGCTCACCCCCCGAGGAGAGGTCCAAGAAGCTGCCGCCTTTCCGTGGATGCCGTCCCCCTGGTGGAACTGTGTGTGATGGCGCAGACGACGTCGATGAGAATCTCGACGACGATGGACGCACCCGGTGCACACGTACACTGACCGGGAGGTGGGCAGAAGGGACACCGCCGCTAAGGCCGATTCAGCCCTGCACCGTCTGTGTGCCACAAGCCGAACGTCATCACCACAGCCGTACTTCAAAATTTGAATTTCAAACGTAGAGGTCCCCCTTTTTTTTTTCTTTTTTTTTTTTCGTGGCCTGCCTCATGCCCTTTCCCGCCGGACGTCGCTGGACCACACAGTCTCCACACGGACAACGGACAACGGACCACGGACACCCCCGCCCGCGGCCACGTATTTTCGTATGAAAATGGCCGTGGGCAGGCCACAAGGAAACGTCCTCAAGCGGTGTCAACAGCGCACGTCCGCCCTCTCTGCCGCCGTCCATCGCCAGCACACCCATAGGGATGGAGTCTCTCCGCTACCGTCTCGATCCTCGCACCCCAGAGACGTAACCCGCTCACCCCCCGAGGAGAGGTCCAAGAAGCTGCCGCCTTTCCGTGGATGCCGTCCCCCTGGCGGAACTGCATGTGATGGCGCAGACGACGTGGATTAGAATCTCGACGACCATGGATGCACCTGGTGCACACGTACACTGACCGGGAGGTGGGCAGAAGGGACACCGCCGCTAAGGCCGATTCAGCCCTGCACCGTCTGCGCGCCGCAAGCCGAACGTCGTCACCACAGCCGTACTTCAAAATTTGAATTTCAAACTTAGAGGTCCCTCTTCTTTATTTTATTTTTCGTGGCCTGCCTCATGCCCTTTCCCACTGGATGACGCTGGACCACGCCGTCTCCACACGGACCACGGACACCCCGCCCGCGGCCGCGTATTTTCGTATGAAAATGGCCGTGGGCAGGCCACAAGGAAACGTCCTCGGCAGCCGTCCCCAAGGATGTGTGGAACGACTCAGCAAAAATCCCTTATGAGCCACAAGGAAAATTCCTTGTGGCTCAAGGAACTCGTAAGGAGTGTCGAACGACGCTCATAGTGTACATGTAAACATTGTTTACAAGGTTAAAAAGACGATGCGCTGGCCGGTAATAAGTAACCGGACTGTCTCCCACCAAGAACAGAAGGGGCCTGTTTTTTTTTTTTTGAATTGCACCATTTCTCGATTTATGCGTGTCATCCTTTGGCAGGCACCTTTGCAGAAGGGAGTATTCAGAGTAAGGACTTATGGAAGCCGACCGCTGCCAACTGGAAAACTCAAGAAGAACTCAAGGGCCGGCTGGGCCAAATCCGGAAAATTGTGGAGAAAAATTAAAGGAAATACTGGAAGCAGTCCCGCTAGCCTGGGTTGGGGCGCTGAAAAAGGGGCCCACGCTACAGAAACTACCCTGAAGCAGACCTGCCCATCCCAGTGACAATCTACCAAGTCCAGAATGTATCAGCTGGGCAAGGCACTCTTCATGCATACACCCCACAACTGCCAGGTGCTACAGTCTTCCCCCGAATACAACGCACGGTCATTATAGCTGAATTTAGACTGAAAAATAGACCAAATTCAGCTATAATGACCGTGCGTTGTATTCGGGGGAAGACTGTAGGTGGTCCCAAGTAGACAAGAATGGAAGACCTTGATTCTCCGCTGCGAAGAGAGGCTCTAGCGAGTATCAGAGTGGTGGAAGACCAGAAAAAAAAAGGGATCTATGCTTATGAGCCAAGCACTCCCATTAGCCATTAGCCAACTGTCTTTCATGCTGAACCTCTTCAAATACACCAGACTACCGTCTTCACCTGAATACAATGTACGGTCATTATCGCTGTATTTGGGGCAAATATGACTCCAGATACAGCAATAATGACCATACGTTGCATTCGGGTGAAGATCGTAACAGTGTTGATGGCAGGTTTGAGAGCCAGGTGCTCCTTTGGAAGGAATCAGCATGCTTTATGGTTTCTTGCAGACCAAAATCACAATGCTGGACACAATAACTGAAGAGACTCAAGAAGCAGCACAGGAACGTAAACACCGTCTAAACAATGAAACAGACAAACAGAAAGAAGCAGAATTGATCTGCAATTCTCGGACGATATGGGTAGATGCATGAATTTGTTTTTGGTGATTTACACCACGACAACAAACTCCCAACGGAACCCTGGTGCAACACATAAGCACCTGGGAAAGACCGCCTTTTGATCGCTTTGGAGTTCCATACAAGCTCACAAACTTCATCCTCATTTAGCCAAAGAGTGAATCCGCCCCCTATCCCCACCAACACTATGGATCAGTCATCACCGACAGTACCACACTCTTCCGCCYCCCCCCCCCCCCCACTCTACCACAAGGCACACTGCCCAACACCCCTCCTTTCGAAACCTCTCTCCTCTACCATCGGAGCTAGCACCCCCATCCCAGCCTCCATCCCCTCCTCCCCCAATCACTGTCTCTCCGCCCCAAGGTCGTATCTTTCCCCGTTACTCGTCATAACGACTTGTCCTCAGGAGTTCTTGGGTGCTCAAGGAATGGGATATCAAGGGGCCAGTACATGCCAACCATCGGCCGCGGGCCCATTTCAGAGGCCGCCCACTGCCCAACACCCCTCCTCTCGCAACCTCCTCTCCTCGACCATCGGAGCTAGCACCCCCGTCCCAGCCTCCATCCCCTCCTCCCCCAATCCCTGTCTCTACCCCCCGGCTCTATGTCTGTCGGCCAATGTCGGATCTCTGCCCGTTACTCGTCATAACGGCTTGTCCTCAGGACTTCAAGCCGGGGCGCGCAAGGAATGGGATACCAAAGGACCAGTGCATGCCAGCCATCGGCCGCGGGCCCCTTTCAGAGGCCGCACACCACCGACTTATTTTAGCAACAGTAAGCGAGCCTCCAAACAAAATAACAGTCACATAGGGGTGTCTTCCAGTGTAAACAAGAAGTTTGCGATAGGGGATATAGGCAGCAGACTATCTCGGGCTTTATACCAAACTAAGATTGGGTTGAGTTTGAGAAACGATGAAGTAGCTCTGTTGATAGAGAATGTGATCAATCCTCCCATAAAGGAGGTTAAGCGATGCTGTCTTTAACGGCTCAAAGTCAAAGTTGGCTATCTGTTAATCTGCTGATTTTGTTGGGACGCGGGACCCGCTTTTCAGCAGGTGGTTCTTCCAACCAATTCATTGGGGCCTTCAACACGGGACCCTACCCTGGGGGGATCCTCTTATCACCTTCCAGAGTAGGGGTCCCGCAAAAAAGTTAAGCGTGGAATCTGCGCAAGGATGACCCAAGACCTACCCTGGGGGGATCCTCTTATCACCTTCCAGAGTAGGGGTCCCGCAAAAAAGTTAAGCGTGGAATCTGCGCAAGGATGACCCAAGACCACTTGCCCAGCCGGGGCGGCCTGGACCCGTTGCCCAGGTCACCTTGGCAAACCAAAACATGTTAAAAGAAAAAGTAAAAAGCGCATGGTGGGACATTTCTGTGCCCACTGAGAGGATCTGGCTGCAGCCACTTCCAGACCTGAGTCCAAAGTGTCCTAGTTTCAGTATGCCCCAAGTGAATCCCTCAGAATCAAAAAGGTGTGAATGCTTCTTCTGATTCTATTTGTTTGTTTGTTTGTTTGTTTGCCCTTTCTCTTGTTTTTTTTTTGTGTTTTTTTTTTAAAGAGACAACTGCATTACTTGCTGAAAACTGGGTCCAGCATCCCTTACACTATGTATTGTTTTTACTTTTCACTGTTTTCAGGCATGAGAAGAAGACAGGTTCCCAATGCTGCTGTAGAGGATGTGACAAGGGATACGAGCATGGGAGTCTTTGGCCTGTAAGAGTGAGTGCCCAATTACCCAGTTTATTGGGACTTTCTTTCTTTCTTTCTTTCTTTCTTTCTTTCTTTTAATTAATGGGAGTAGTAAGATGTTTTATCCCAACAGTAACCACAAAATAGTGACATTGAAAAAGAAAAGAAAAGTAACATCAGATCTGTATGCCCAGCTTTGCAGGAGACTGTAAATGCTGGCTTCCGTTTTCTTTTTTTTTTTTTGGTGGTTCGATGAACCGCCGATCAGATATTGAATCCATCAGAACAGATACTGCACTTGGTCTAATTCAAAACTCCTCCTCCTCCTCCTCCTCCTCCTCTTCCTTCTTCTTCTTCTTCTGCTGCTGCTGGTACCCTCCTCCTCCTCCTCCTCCTCCTCCTCCTGCTGCTGCTGCTGCTGGTACTCTCCTCCTCCTCCTCCTCCTTCTTCTTCTTCTTCTTCTGCTGCTGCTGCTGCTTCTGCTGCTGCTGCTTCTTCTGCTGCTGCTGCTGCTGGTACTCCTCTTCTCTTCCTCCTCTTCCTCCTCTTCCTCCTCTTCTTCCTCCTCTTCCTCTTCCTCTTCCTCCTCTTCCTCCTCTTCCTCTTCTTCCTCCTCTTCCTCTTCCTCTTCCTCTTCCTCTTCCTCTTCCTCTTCCTCTTCCTCTTCCTCTTCTGCTCTTCTTCTTCTTCTGCTGCTGCTCAGCCTGAGATGAATAGAGATCTTGAAGTGCACATTTTTCTTTTTACCCAAGGAGTGAGACTAGAAACTGACACAACAAGGATAACAGAGACAGGACACAACAAAACAAGACACATGACACATCACAATGCCATCTGGAAAAGGATGTGCAGTGAAGCCGTAAGGTGCAAAAATTCCAAAGTAAAACATCAACTGCCTCGTTGACTTTGGAGCACAGTCCAAAGCTTAGTGCCCTTACAGATGTACTGCAAAAGTCCCTAGTATCTGCTGCAGGCTGAAATCCCCATCATCTTCTGCAAGCCAAAGCTTGGCATTGGGGCCTCTTAACCACCATAGCCAGTTCTTCACCCTCTTTTTTAACCTGACCCCCATAGCCATGAAGGTCTCCGTCTCCCCCACCAAGCTCCCTCAGGATGCTTCAGTACTGTCCCTGCAGTGGAGCAGCATACTGAGCGCTGGTCCAATCATTAATTTGATGTTGTCTTGAGTGCTGCGTCTAGTTCTAGTGTCTGGCCCCACTTTTGCTATGTTCATGCTTTGAAGCATAACCTGGTCGCAATGATGGCCAGCTTCGTGCTAGTATTTCATAAACATTGCACAAGCGCTCATTATGGCTGCACCAGACCTGAAAGGTGCGTTCTCTCTCTCTCTCTCTCTCTCTCTCTCTCTCTCTCTCTCTCTCTCTCTCTCTCTCTCTCTCTCTCTCTCGCGCGCGCGCGTGCACGCTCGCATGAGGGCGCGACGAAGCACTATCTGCAGCAGCAATGGAGATCCTCTTCGCTAAGTGCACGCCCTTAGAGGAAGGGAACTGCACACATCTATAGCGGGATTTCGATTTGTGCCCACCATTCGCTGTGTGTTGTTTTTTTTCTACTTTTGCCGTGGTGTGATCCCACCTTGTTTTTTTTTTTTTCCTTCTGTCAGTGGTAGTTGGGACTCTTTGTGCCGGCAGCGCGGTTTCAGATGCACTGCTCGCTCTTATTCCGAACCCGGTAGCTCCTGCCACAAATGTTTTGGGCCCACGGGCCCTGGCCTTTCGAACCTCCACTGGGCCTGGTTACTGTAGATTCAGCGCTGGTGTTCGTCTACGAAATGAATCTACAGATGGGGTGGTGGTTTAAAAGGAGTCGAAAGTTGGCACACCCACGAACTGTTGAAATACAGACCGAAGTTCGAAACCAGACACGCTCAGATGAACAGAATAAAATAATTCTGAATTACCCTAGGGCCAGTCATTTCAATGATGATATCTCACGGCCGCCGCCCTTTGAAGAAAAAGCCAAAAAGGAGTCGAAAGTGTGTTAGTTGACACCGTTCAGTATCTTTCACGCCTGGGTGGTGCTAGCTGTCACTATCTGATGGCACTAACGCGTTTTCTGTGCAAGGAAAACGCACAGCAGGAACTCTAATCACAAGCGCCATGAAAACTCATGAACAACATTCGTGGCATGGCAACCGGACTTGTAGCAGAAAGGACAAAGCAACGGTGACAGAAGCACAAGATCAGACAATGTTTAAGTCATTTCGACGATGGGAAGCCCCTTCTCGCCTCCCGACAATCAATAATGCGATTGTAACAGTACCCTTCTCTTACTGGTGGTCGCTCTACCAGCAGCTATGATCACCTAAACCAGCTTTGAAAATCGTGAAGAAATACGCGGTTCATGGCGTGCTGGAAAGTTTGGGGTGCATTATAGAGCCTACTACTACTAAATGCATCGCCACAAACTCATGCAGTCTGTACCAGGTTCGAAACGCGGTTTTGTGTTGATCCCTGGGCCTTAAGGCCTTTCCTCTATCTGATGATAGCCAGACTTCAGATCTATCTTGGTAGAAAGGACCACGCTATGACGCTGATCATCTGTCTCAGCACAGCTATGGCTGCTTTTGGCTGTATGCTAGGTGCTGCCCTCTCCTGCTACCATCTTCCCCCGAACGTAACACATGCGTTGTAAACGAATACCGCACATAGGTTGCTGTCAATGGGAATACAACACGCGTGCGTTCTATTTGAACGGTCGGCATATTCGAATACAACACACATGCGTTCTATTTGAATCATTGATTTTTTTTGCAAACTCGAATACAAGACATATGCGGTATGTTCGGGGAAAGACGGCAGTGCTGTTTGACATAGTGCTCCGGGCAGCTTGGTGGCATCCTACCTCCACAATGATCCTGCTGTGAGCTGCCTCGACCTTTCCTTTAATACCAGAGCCAGGTTCGTGTTCACCCGGTAGGCACTGCCTTCTGGAGCCTTCCGGTTACGGCCATGACCTACCAGGTTATGGCAGCCCTACCAGGTCGTTGTGCAGGCCCAATCGAGCCACAGTTTCGGGTGAAGCTCAGGACCAGCCGATACCCATGCAGGGGCCGTTTAGATGCAGCGCCGACCATGGAAGTGGAGATGGTCTACCATAGCCGAAGGCGAGTCTCTTGTGTCGGTTCCTTTCCCCCACCTCTTCTCCATCTCTACTCTCTTTCTCCACTCTTCTCCTTTGCATAGCCATGGAGGTATTCTCCCTCCCCCCTCAGCTATGGCGGAGTGGTGAAACTGGAGGGTGAAGGAGAAGACCTCCATGGCTATGCAGCAGCAGTAGGGTGTAGACCTATGATAGCCAAGGCCTGCACCCTACTACTGCTGCATAGCCGTGGAGGTGTTCTCCTTCACCCTCTCCAGCTCCACTGCTCTGCCAAAGCTCCGCCTAACTCCATTCTCTGGGCGGAGCAGCCGTAGGACTGTCGGGGCAACATCTGTTCCCACTCGTTGCTGCCGTGCCAAGCCTGAGAGCTTTCTCGATACAGGCCAGAACACGCGTGACCTGTTTTGGTAGCTACCCGTCCTACCTCGGCCTACCAGACTTCACTTGGGCCTACCCGAGTTGCTGGAGAATCCTTGCCGGGTACTAGCCAAATTCTAGTTCTGTCCTTGCCCGTCGTGGCCGTCTACAAAGTCTGTCTGCTGTCCAATTTTCAGCCCCATCCCAGTAGTTCCCTTGTTTGTGATCTACCGGTTCCCGGGACACAGAAAAAAACGCGGCACGAGAACACAGGTAGTTAGTACACAGCATAGCAATCATGACCTAGGGGCTTAATCACGTAGAAGCTAACAGCAATTCCCTCGAAACATGGAAATCTCAGCGAACGCGCTTGTACATCGTCTCTAATCTAATTAAATTTCATTGGAATAGAATGCCGGTCGAACGTATAAATAAAGTTTTGAACGCAGAACAGGTCCCTAGGTTGGATTTGAACCAACGACCCAATAGATAGGGTAAGCACTGAGCAGTGTGTGTAATCTGACTAAGCATCCCTCTTAAGCAATCACCAGAAATCTGCGAAAGCTGCGCAAATCTCCGAGTGATTCTGTGCTGGTCATTGCACTACCCTATCCTATGTTCTCTTTATTATGTGCGTGTAGGGTGTCCCCAGCAACAGAGTGAAGAGATGTGGTTGCCCTTTAAACCACCGCTACCTTTTTCCATGTGGGCCAACGTCGGGCCCCCGAATCTTTAGGAGGCCAAAACGAAACGACGGACGCTGATGAGATTTACCAATGGCGGTCGTCGTCGGGCCCGTCCTCCGAGTTTTTGGAGTAGGATATTTTCCCGCTTGCCCAAGGGATGGAAAGGTAGTGGTGCTCTGAAAACAAAAACAAAAAACCAGAAAAGCGTCTTCGACCCCTTCACATGTGAACGTCAGGACTCACCGTTTTGCTATGTTCACCAGGCCAGCCTTTGGACGGTCGGAGGGACCTTAAGCTGCCACTACACACTTAAAGATAGTACCCCTACATAAGACATTACCGGGGCCTGTGGTCATCAAAAACTTCTGCGGCAATTGGATCTACAATCTGACAGGCAAACAGGCCTATCTGAAAAAATGGGGTCTTGAGTAATTTTGGGAGGCTGTGAAATGTAGTGGCCCCCCCCACCCCTCCCCCCCCTTTTAATTCGCATTCGGCTCAAAATCTCTCTATACCTCTCTTCTATGCGCTGGATCTTGCAGGATTAGATAGATCCCCGCGGATGATGGTTTTGCAATGTCAGTGCTCTGCCATTGAAAATCAGGAAGTCTGTCTGTTTTCTACTCCTGAATCCTGGCCTTTTTTTTTTTTTTTTTTTTTTTTAGACTCCTGGCTTTTTACCAGGGCGACACAGTCGTGTCCAGTAGTAGTTAGACCGGCGGTACCTTCGGCCGATATTTTTCCGACCCTGAGTTTGCTGAATTGGACTATTTGAGTCTATTTTAGAATTTTTGGTAGTCGGAATTGTGAGTGACATCGTCTGAAAAATCATGTGGGTATGCTGATCGTTTTGGGAAAAAATATTTTAAACTTTAAAGAATAAAAAAAAGTTGAGAAAAACTATTCCAAGCTGTAAAGTTGCTTGCCGGTGACAAGCTATCGGACTGCCATCCTCCAGAATAGATGGGGCAATTTCTTTCAAAAAAAAAAGGAAGGTGGCAAGACTATTTCTGGTAGTGTCTTTTGCTCCCTGGTGCAACCGGCAGACCCTTTTTTTATTGCTTCCTGACCATATGGGTAGTCTGAGCACCAGGGGTGTTGGTGGTTTAAATAACCTCAGCGAGCTTGCTTGCATGCACGTGTGTGTGTGTGTGTGTGTGTGTGTGTGTGTGTGTGTGTGAGAGAGAGAGAGAGAGAGAGAGAGAGAGAGAGAGAGAGAGAGAGAGAGAGAGTTTTTTTGCGTTTTTTTCAGTGTTGCTGGAAAAACAAAAATCAGTCATTTGTTAAAATTGGAACAATAAAGAGAAGATTAGCGTGGCCCCTGCAGGGGGATGAGAAGTATAAGTCGAAAACTGGTCCAAATTAAGAAACAAAATGAAAAAAAAAAAGAAAAAAATCCATAACTCCTGTCCTTCAGGACATCCGTTAAAATTGGAATGATACAGAGACTGAAGATTAGCATGGCCCTTGCGCAAGGATGACATTCATAAATTGAGAAATGGTCCCAAAGAAAATAAAAAATACAAAGAATTCAAAAATCTATCACACGACCTTCACTTTGACAGGTGTATGTGGAGTAGTTTCTCTGTTCTCTGAGATATACCTTTCTCTTTTTTGATTTTTTTTCCTTTCTGGGAAATCCTCCTTTTTTTTTTTTTGCACATTTCAAACTCGCGCTGTGTTTGAATCGCCATTTATTCTTTTTTTTTTTTTTGGGTTTTTCGGAACTGAAAACCTGACGAGGCCACCGTTGTTTCAAACGGCAGCTATGGATCTGCACATCTGAGCCCTAAGTCCTCCTCCGTGCAAGCACAGATTTGAAACCGACGACCTCGGCCTCAAGAGCCAAGTTTCTTAACCACTACAGCCAGGACACGGAGTTCAAAACTGGAACCATACCGGTCATGATATCCACTCCGCCCCTGCAAGGCTTCTGTGTCCAACTTGAGACACACCACACACAACACCACACGGACACTACAATTCTCACACACTTGGCTCCAGGCAGCACAAAGCCTGCCACTGGTACAGTGGTACCCCTGTCCCATCCACCAACACGGGAACATTGTTTCAAAGCAAAATGTCGATGTTTTCGAGCTGGTTGTGGTCCCAACCGCGGAACCTTGCACCAGGGCTGATTGCCATTCTGGCTACTGTGGGCTTGTCCATCATCAATTTAATAATTTTAATTTGCAGAACTCCTAGAGCTTTCACACTCTCCAATTTAGAAAAGTGTGTGCCACTCACAAACTGATTTCATTCAGTCATTTCATTTCGGTTGAATTCTTGGACCTTCTTTCTAAACATTGTTACTTTTTTATTCAGTCTTTTAGGTATTCTTTTTGTTCGTTCGGGATTACTTGCATCTGTTCATAGCTTTGCCACAGATTCGCAACGAGGAATCTTTTTCCGATTACAATATTTGCGTACGGGATAGTAGCATGGTACACATACTGAATTTCAGAAATCAATGTGCAGTCAATACCATGAGCGCGCGTGGCACCCAAGGCTTCTGCGGAGGACCTTGAGCCTGCCTGAGCATCATAAAAAGAAAAATCGTCTGGACTCTGTTCGTTGGGTCATCACTTGTGATGGTCAGACTTTTGTATGCTATTCTCTCTCTCTCTCTTTTTTTTTTTTTTTTTTTTTTTTTTTTCATAAAGGGTGTGATGGCCTTGAGATGTCATCATCGAACTAACCGGCGGTAGGTAATTCAGAATTACTGTAGTATAGCGGAGTTTGAACTCTGCACCTGGTCTGTATTTCAACCATAGTTGCAGCGCACCAGTGCGGAGTGCGGGGCGGGGCGGTGCGCACTGCGCTGTGCGCTGGAATGACAGCATGCGCACTGTGTGCAGTGCGGTCCGCTGTGCGCGGTGCGCGCGCCCCGTGCGCGGGAAAAAAAAAAAAAATGGGCCGCACAGAGAGAGAGAGAGAGAGAGAGAGAGAGAGAGAGAGAGAGAGAGAGAGAGAGAGAGAGAGAGAGAG